AATAAACTATGAATGTTTTATATCCATGTAACGGGAAGAAACTCATCTAACTGATCTTGTGCAATGCTGACGCTGAGCCTCTGAATTAGCAACGAGCGAAAAATGCTAACAGATTACTGCACCGAAAATCACTCATAAAACCTTATTATTTATCTTTTCTGCACATCCAACACATCGATTCACATCGTGAGGTGACACAGAATCGATGGGTACATACATTATCACTCTATGATACGAACTCGCGACTTTATAAACAAAAACAGACATCAAAACATGTGGCGCTAGGTAGCTAAAAACGCTAACATGGTTTACCTGTGTCGTAGTCTGGTCAAAAGTGGTCTTCAATGGCATTAAAACGATAAAAACGCTGCTGAAGTTAATCCATAGGTTAATCCAATGTGTCTGTGTCCCTTTTAAATGATTTCTGATAATCCATGAGCAATAAGACTGCTTTTCCGTTTCTAGATGTCAGAGCTAGAGTATAGGTTCGCTCTGATGCAAAACTGCATGCGCGAAGCCCCCACCTTTTTTTTTACCGTGTGTGTGGGGAAATTCCCCTTCGATTCTATTGGCTCTAACGGTCAAAGAGATGTCAATCACCAAAATCGACCAATGGGTTCCAGAGAAACGGTAAAACCCCCATTTCCACCCAAATCACCTCAGAGGTGGAGTTTTTTTTGGCTAAATCTCTCTAAAAAGGTCAAATGTCACTTGTTTTGCATCAATCTTGATACAGGGTACTTACTATATGTTGTACTTTGGATTCCTAAAGCTTTTAGTCTACCTTACCATCATCCAAGGGTAGTTTTCACTATAAGTAAAAAAGAATCTTTGGACGGACACTATCATTTACAGTTTCTTACTATGTTCAATCTGAATTTTCTTTAAAATAAAAAACATCTATATTGATTCTGACTTTTCTACATCCAACTCACAGGTTTATCATTACTTTGAGAAAAAAGATTATTAATTTAACCCTTTTAGAAGGGAAGATATGGTCATTTGTTCTGGGAATGGCATTTTCGAGCCGGAGACCTGAAAAACAGGCTCGGGGCTTAACAGGTTAATGCTTGCAATGATGGCACCCTCCTGAGTGAGCACCACTCAACTATAAAACACATACTGTACGTAACGTAAAACACCCACAGACCAGGTACCCGTTATAAAACCCTAGACATATACTCCGAAGGGGTTTCTCAAAATGTTGACCTGATGACAGGTACTTTTACTTTACCTGAGTTTTCTCATTTAATGCTGCTTTAGGCTTCTACTCTACTGTTTTTAGGAAGCCGGCGTGGTACTTTTTACTCCCCTCTATTTATCTGACAGCTTAAGTCACTAGTTACTTTGAACACACACATTATATAGGTTAAGATATTCAGCAGCAGTATACAAAATGATTACTATCAGTCACCATTTAACACCTTGGATACAAAAATATTGGGATCAAAATATACTTAAGTAAGATCTTGAATGCAGGACTTTTACTTGTAACACTTCATCCTAGAACACATTTTTTTAAACTTGTAATCCTGATGTAGTGTAGATCTCGATAAAAACATATTTTAAGGTTACATTTAACACCTTCATACCAACATTTCCGTTCCTCATGTAACCCCTCTGGCCCTCAGGACACGGTGGTGGCCCTCCAGGCCCTGGCTAAGTACGGCGCGGCCACCTACAGCGCGGAGGGCAGCACGGCGGTGACGGTGACGTCTCTGGGAGGCCTGAACACAGAGTTCAGGGTGGATCAGAGCAACAGGCTGCTGTACCAGGAGCAGAAGCTGAGCGAGGTCCCCGGAGAATACACCGTCAGGGCCCAGGGCCAGAGCTGCGTCATGGCACAGGTACGGGGCATGGGTGTATAAAGAGAACTGGATACTGCGTCGGAGGAGGAGGAGGGGCCTCCTTCAGTCCTATGAGAGTTGCTCAGTGGCGCATGGAGCCCAAATGGTATGATGCTCTCGAGAGCAAAATGTCACAAATTACCCGTCATGCCTGCCTGTCGAGAGCAAAGTGCCCATATGTACGCTCATAGAGCATGCGCACTTGAGTTCTCCTTAAGCCCTGCCCCCGATCTCCCGCTATCTGCTCAGTAGAATGGAGAGAGAAAATCAAACTGGATTCAGGTTTTAGCGTATTTTACACATTTTAAAACCCTAATGATTCAAATAGGGGCTATACAAGTGTTCATACTGGTTCCTTTATTTTTATTTTTTTTAATTATCCGCTATTTTACAGACGTCTCTTTCCCAATCCAAGTCAATGGGGAAAAGTAATTTTGGGCCCAATGATGCAGAAGTTGTAGAACCATAGTTTGGCCACTACGAATATTTGCATGAGTGTCCGGCGCACTTGGGTACTGGGGTCTTGGTACGGGGGCCTCGAAGGACGAGAAAAAGAAGAGCCTCGCAACACAAAGGGCTACAATTGACTGCAATACAGAAGTAAACTAAGAAGTAAAAGGAGTATATGATATTTTAATCCAAAGATATTTGATCAAAGCGTATTGTTCTTTTGTACTGTGTATTGACTGTGATGAGCTGTCTCTCAGATCTCCATGCACTACAACATCCCCCCTCCCCCCGACTTCTCTGCATTTAACATCACCACCAACACCATGACCAAGTGCAACATCAACAGGCCGCAGCTCATCCTCTTTGTGCATGTCAGGTACTGTGTGTGTGTGTGTGTGTGTGTGTGTGAGCTGTAATAGAGATTGGAAACCTTTTAGTTTCAGTAATACAGTGAAGGAAATAATCATTTAATCCCTTGCCGATTTTGTAAATTCACCCACTTACAAATAAATGAACAGTCTATAATTTTAATGGTAGGTTTATTTTACTAATGAGAGACAGAATATCAAAAAGAAAATCCAGAAATGTTCCTCATAAGAGATATAAATTGATTTGCATTTAACTGTGGGAAATCAGTATTTGATCCCCTTGCAACAAACAAGGATTCTGTCTCCCACAGACCGCTTACAGGAGTCCTTTTCCTTTAAAAAGTACTCCTAATATCAACTTGTTACCTGTACAAAAGTTACCTGTCCACAGAATCGATCAATCAGATTCAAACCTCTCCACCATGGGACATGTTTTGCACGGGGATCAAATACTTATTTCACACTTTTAAAAGCAAATAAATGTTTGTCTTTTATTTAATGTCAATTTCTGGATTTTCTTTTTCAAATAATAATAATTTCCTTCACTGTATATGTTGGTCGCAAATATTCAATCATACCAAAAAAACAAAAACTGTGAACAGTTAGTTATTGCGTGTTGTGTGTGTGTGTGTGTGTGTGTGGTGTGTGTGTGTGTGTGCAGGTACCAGGGCAGGAGAGAGGAAACCAACATGGTGATCATCAACATCAAGCTGCTGTCTGGATACATTCTGGATAAGAGCTCCCTGGAGCTGGTCAGTTCTTCCACTGAATGGCACACATTTAGATACTTTGATACACATGTAGTCTGTGCAGTACTATCAGACTGTAAGACTGTAGCAAATTCATACTACATAATATTTGTTTATATTGGTGTATACTGATGGCTGTGTGTTCTGTGCTTATTTTTAGCTGAAGAGCGACCGCTCAGTGAAGCGTGTGGATCTCGACGAAGGATACATCAACATCTACTTAGACGGGGTAGGAAGCACTGAATGTGTGCCTCAGAGACGCATGAATTAAGCCTTTATTTTGTATCATTTATTTAAACCATTTCGACCTGTGTGCAGAGCATAAAGTAAATAGTATGATTTTGTTCTTTTGTGGTTGCAGTTGAAAAAGGATGAGATGCTGATATACAGTGTGACACTGGAGGAGGATGTTCCTGTCAGGAATCTGAAACCAGCTGTGGTCAAAGTCTACGATTACTACCAGACAAGTAAGAGCTTCATGGTTACTTAGTTTGTAATGTATGTGATGCTCAGTTTCTTTAAGTTAACTAAATGTACGGAAGCCCTGAGAGGCAAGATTTATTATTATTTATTATTTTTTCCCCTTGTGATCCATTTTATAATTTGGATTTATATTTTTTTGTCACCTGTCTTTGAGTCAAGCACACTTTATAGAAAAGGTTTGCTAAGAAAATCTTTCTAAGATAAATAATATTAAAATGTTGTCATTTGTGAAAACGAGTTTTGCCCGGACGATTTTTCATCTTTTTCGATCCATAAACTGATTTTTTAACTAAAAGCACTCGTGTTTTCCAAGCACTCTAAAAACAGGGAGCATGTACCTGAAAGAAAACATGTCTGATTCATATGGTTCACTTCCCGCTTCTTGAGCCCAAAATAAGAATAACAACAAACGCATCGTAAAAATGTTTTATCCTGGCCAACTTTTAATTTCTGTCACAGATAAAATAAGAAATAGGGACTTAAAATATTTTCCTAGCAAAGGTTTTCCTAAGTCATAAAAACAAATTAAACATTTTATTACTAACTTCTCATGGCTTCCATACAACGACACAGTATTTCCTCCCTCGTATTACTCACCCTGTTTCTGATGTTTGTGGTGATATTTGCAGGTGACGAGGCGGTCACTGAGTACTGCTCCCCCTGTGCAGAGAGTAAGTAACATTGTTCAGATCTGTGATGACTTCATTCTTACTGTTGTGCCAAGTGGAATTCAAAACTAGGGTTTCTGTAAGTGTCGTATTGAAACAGTAAATGTGTTTAGTCCACAGGTAAATAACACAAAGTTTTCTCTTCCAGGTGACGTCATCAACGAGCTGTAACTCACTTGGCAGAATCAATGCGTCGGAGAAAGAAACTTCTAGATGTTCATTTCTTTGACTGTGTCTTCATTTGTTTTTACTCATTTTAACTGTTTTAGCTTTGTTTTATTGAGTGAATTCCACCATTTTTAAACATTTTCTTTTTTGTTTCTACTTGCCGATCCATTGTCCTGTAACTGTTGTTAATGAAGCAATAATCAGTCTCTCCTGGACACTGGAACCTACTCATTAAAACCCGCTGAGGTGAAGAAAAGCAGACAGAGATTGTGTAACAGTTCTGTTTTTAATAGATTTAACAAAATCCATATTATTCATACGTGAAAATAACGCATGAGACATACAGGGTACCAATAACACAGTATGGTCCGAGTATTGATTGTGTGTGTGTGTGAGAAACAGAAACTATTTTCTAGAAAAGTACAGTCTCATGAGTGATAGGTGTGTTATACTGTGTGTTCTGCTGTACCAGTAAATACAAAAGGTAGATTGATACATCACTACCATACAATTTTCAATGTAACTGACCGACAATAAAATTTCTAAAATGACAAAAATAAGTAAAAATTGTCTTTTTCATACAATACCGTTTCATTTCAATAGTAATATTATTTTTTTCATTCAGGCATCCTCTTTACAGTATATTTAGTTTCCTTTCTTCTCGACATAGATTACAACTAATGTATATACCAGCTACTATCAACAGACATGATTTAACAGCCTTGCCAGTGTTGAATAGTTTGGTTTGCACGCGGTAACTGTGCAGTGTACGGAAGCCCAGAGAGGCCAAAGAAACGTTTTTTTTTTTATCTGGCTTTTTCTTTTTCCTCCCTAACTTAATTTCAGATATTTTTTAAATCATAAACACCAGAGAGAAAAAAACAAAAATGGATCATCAGATTTCTTTCTCACTTATATCTCTGGGCTTCCGTAGAAGGGGAAGTAAAGGCAAGGGGACAGAATATATTAAGGTCTTTTCACTATTCTTCTTTTTCAATAGTAAACGTGTAACTATCTCAGGCACCACAACCATAAATTATCGTTACATGAAACTAAACGAGAGTTCCACATGCTCTGAAAATCACAGTTTGTCGTCGTCTTCTACAAAACAAACGGCATCCGGAATCTGTTTACTACAAACCGTCAATAGACTCACAACGCAATGATCGACACTTGACGACAGTCTTTTAAAGCTGAAGATATTTTTTTTATCCGCTCTCATGCATGCAAGCCTCCACTCGGAGGATTCAAAGCAGGGGTCTTTATCACTTCCAATTCAGTGAAGTTAAATAAAAGTCGACTGAACAGAGTTTTGTTAGTTCAAACAACTACGATAAAAAAAGGCTAATTATATATTTAAAAATAGTCAAATTAATTGATAACCACATTTCCAGGGGGTTTGCATCATATCACAAGTTTACTTACTTTTGGCAAATATTGTTATTTGTAAATAATTATTTGTTTATGTGATCTTAAGACGGTTCATTAACAGTTGCAAACGATGCACATCCCATAGTGCTAACAGCGGCCGCAATCAATTATCTGTGAATTCCCCCATCAGTTACAATAATGCCAGTGAACTAGCTGCCATGATGTATAAAGAGAACTGGATAAAGCTTTGGAGGCGGGATCACTTTATCCGGGGTTTTGGACCAATAGAGCGCTTGAGTTAAGCCCCGCCTCCAATATGCCAGTCTTGTCTTAGTCAAATGAATGGCTAGGGAAATAAAGCTGAATTAGTCTTTTAGTGCATTCTAAGACTTTTAGACCCTGATGCTTTAAATAGGGGCTATTCAGGTGTTCAAACTGGGTAGTTGATTTACCTTTATGTTTTTCCCAATGCAAGTCAATGTGAAAATGTATTTTTTGGCCCATTGACGTCACAGGCAGAAACTGTAGTACCACCATTCGGCCACTTGGAACATCTGCTTTAACGTCCGGCTCTCGTCCCGGGGGCTTAGCTGATTCCCACTGTGCTCAGGGCCTCTGGTATATCTGCCTGTAAGGATGCTAGAGGCATGCTAACTGCTAACTTTCCACATACGGCCTTTACAGCATTAATGCGATTGTAGATGTCAACAACACAAAGTCAAGGCACAGTTCAGGATTAGTACGTATTGTTGATCCTGTGGTGACCTGTAGCACTGCACTGTGTGGCTTTAGGCTGGCAGTGATGATGGTGTGAAGAAATGGGATGTAGTGTTAGCAGCACTCAGGTGAAGTGAGTGGTGAGCATATATGTTTCACGTAGAGTGGACTCAAATCATTTCCAGGTCCTGTTGACTGACTTCTCACATTTCATTCACAATAAGATTCTTTCAAATATATTTATAATAATTGATTAACCCTTTTCAATGCGGATTATTTTAAACTCTTTCTGTCTTAACTAAACGTAGTCATGATGGAACACTCAAACATTGGCATGACGTCATTTGGCAATATTCTCTAAAAAAAAGAAAAAGAAATGAAAACAAAATACAAAACGTTCGACAAATAGTAACTAAAAGGTCTCCATTTGGCAATATAGAAAGGCTTTTTAAAAGTCTTTGACAGGTTTTGGTTTATATACAGATGTGTGTGTCCCCTCCAAGGGCTCCCTTTTTCAATCCGAGCTGAATCACGTAGAAAATGTGGAGGTGAAAACGTCTACATAGTAAAATAAAAGTGTGAAAATAAAAAGTAACAAACAAGGCGTTGTGTCCGCCAGAGCGGCAACAGGAAGTGTCTGTAGAGTCTGTGGGGGGGGGAAGAGAGTCCCTGCCGAAACGGTCCGCACTGTGTGTCTCAGTTCATGAACTGTGTGTATCCCTCGGCTCCCGTGACGATCACGTCCATCCAGATCCTCATGGCCTCCGCTGCGGGGGCCACCATGTAGTACAGCCGGTCGTGGGTCTTCACGCAGAACGTCAGGGAGGGGTTCGGACTCTGGAAGAAGGAGAGAGAAAATAAGAATTAGACCTTCACAGTGGTTTCAGAATACAATTTTTTGTTATTCAGGACTCTAAAATCAGTTGGGTTTTCGTCTAAATGACATGGAGTTGGATTCTGATTGGTTGATTTGGAAGTTTGAAAAAAAAGGTCTGATGAATTTAACAAAAAGACTGATTTGTTTGGATACCCCTAACAAAAGAACACCATTTAATACTTAAATAAAATACTTATAAATATTTTTATATATATATATATTTGTGACGCCCACAAACATAACGTGAGTGGTTCAGTCTGTAGGGGATTGGACTTTGGACCGAAGGGTCGCCGGTTCACGTCCCGATCGGACCAAAAAATACGGAGTGTGGACTGGTACTGGAGAGGAGCCAGTTCACCTCCTGGGCCACTGCTGAAGTGCCCTTGAGCAAGGCACCTAACCCCCAACTGCTCACTAGCGCCGGCTAGACTGGCTGCCTCCACTCTGACCTCTCAACTGCATGTGTGCATATAACTGTGTGTATTTGTATATGTATGTGCATGTTGTAAAAAGTGTGTACTGTATGACCTGTAAACGCATGCGTGTGTACGACAGAGTGGAAACTGAATCTTCTTCTTCATTTGGATTCATGATGGCTACACTGTCTCCAGTAAAGAATAGAACAAGGAAGATGGTCCACTATATATGAAGAGGTTAAATGACTGGAGGACAGTGAAAATCAACAGAAGAAGACAGACAGGAAGTGAACTCTAACAGGAACACTATGGGCTCTGGCCGTGTTTAGAGGCTGGTTCATTGCCTAGAAAATGTGAACCGCTTGGATAGAAAACTTCGATCAGTGCTGCCGCCATTTTAAGTTACGTTGCTATGTCGCAGTTCCAGCCGTTGGTATGCAGTGGAGTATTTTAACTTTGCTGAAGCAATAGGTTCATTTTTAAACAATATTGTGAGTCAATTCATTGGTTTATTATGTCATGTTAAAGGTGGGATAATGTGCAGCATCGGGATCCTGGTCACCCATGTAAGGGTCTCTTACATGATACATTTCAACCTTAAAAACATTAACAACAATAAATCAAGTATGAAAAACCAACACCAACACTTGGCTCTGGGACTGAAATGTAAAGTATGACAGACACATCTGTATTCAATTCAGCCCAAAATACGAGCATTAATACAAGAATACTTATGCTGTCAATGAGTTTTGGTCAAAAACCAAGCAGTCCAAGATATATGAATGTCAACAAGTAAACTTTTAAGGGTGTCTTCTGCATTAAACTGGTGTTTTTGGAGGCGAACCACCCATGCTACTGTACAAGTGATTTCATCTTTGTGTCTAAGTGCCTCAGACTTGATAGTTTCTCCTCTGTAATGTGACATTGGAAGTGACAAGTATAATCAAAGTTGCAGAGTTGATCAGTGAGGCAGAGTACGGAGTATCGCGACAGGCCATCACACACACACACACACACAGAAGATGAGGAGGCAGCAAAGCTTTATGTTGGAGATGAAAAATAGATGACAAGACGTGTGAGGCTGAAGACAAACAGCACTCAGCGTGGATCATACAGAACAGAAATATGTCCGAGAACAACACCTACGGCTCTACGGAACAACACAGACACGTTTCTTTGAAAAAGAGTTGAAGGAAGAGAGAGCACTAATGGTTCTGTCAAACCCTAAATAAAGTAAGAATGCTTGTTTTTCATCTTTTTTGGTGTTCTCATTACCCAGACTTTCAAGCAAAGTCTACCTTAAGATAGAAATGTTATGTATTAACTGTATCTCCTTTGTACGGAAGCCTTGGGAGGCAAATTCAAAAAGAAATGGTTTTTGATTATTTCCATATATTCTACATGCTAATTGCTTCATGTTGAAACATTTTCAAATTGTATGTTTATATATATATATATATATGAAAACAAAATGATTACACATTCCTAATTGAATACTTGATTCTAATTGGTCAATTCAGATATTTCAGAGGTTGTTAATACCTGATAACACACCACTATATGTGGCTGTGTATTAAGCCGGCTCATCAGGCTTTGTGATCACCCTGTCCGTATTCTTCTTTCCATAATGAACGCCTTGCTGCACATTATCCCTTAAATACATATCTATCTATACAATCACCTCATTCATACCTCCCCACATTGCAGTGGACCGTACAGATTTGATTTAACAAACTGTTTCCTTATTTTATATTCCTAAATCTTATAATTGCATATATTTTGTACTGTTGGAGGAACCTGGGATTTAAGAGTTTCAAAACATCCAGCAGCTATTGTGCATATGACAATAGAGCCTATGAATCTACAAACTTTAAATTCTGACACAGGAAACAGAAATGATCATTTCAATTGCTGAAATCATTTGTGCTTTTGTGGGTTTCTTCTTTGTGCACTTTAAACACAAGGTAGTCTATGGTGTTAGCATGTGACTTTGTTATTGTTGGCCTTTCTTTTGGCTTAAAATGTATTTCAATCTACTAATCTGATTATTTGAGTCCTATTTAGAATATAAAGTAGTGCCCTCTTGTGGTCAAATGTAGTATTACAACAACTGCAACGCAAAGAAATATCCTAAAACAAACAAAGCTTACCTGCCTGTGTTTTTATTTTCACCTGTTCCAAAAGATCATACATGAATCTAAAACAAATGATAACTTGTTCTCATTGGCCCGTAAAGGCTTCCATACCTGGTCTATAAGCAGGGACTTTATAAAACCACTTGACTAGTTTACACTGGGAACACTGGGATGGACAAAGGGATCAAACAGGATTCAACACTACATTTTCACACAAGACTAAGGCTTGTGTCTGAGGTAACGCAACACAGATCTGAACCATGCATCATCAGGCTGTTTCGCTCTCTATCACAATACACAGTGTTTGGTTTGGACACACAGGGTTCAGTTAGGGGTAAAAGGGAGAGAACAGAAAGGCTCATACATACACTGGTCATATTCAAGTTGAAAAATCCCTTCTGTGACAGCAGCCGGCCAAAGCAAAAGCACAAACCGAGGAGAAGAGAAGCAAACAGCAGAATGTGCAGAGTTTTAAATGAAAGAGAGTGCATGAGGAAAGCAAATAAAGTGTGAAAATAAATGAGAGGAAAGCTGTCAGAGTCCATCCACTACAAACCTTAGTGGCGCTGCGGAGGTGATCGTAGTACACCTCTTCTATCGCCTGGAAGTAGATCACTCCCTTCAGCTTGGTCTCATGTTTGTCTGTGGGAGGGAAGATAACATGGGTTTGGTCCAAGACTTCAACACATCGGCAAAGACAGGCTTCACTTGGGTGTCACCTAGAATAACACCGTTAAAAGAAGGGAGAAATCAAACTTTGATCATGACCAATTTATGGTTGCCGATGATGGATGGAAAATGACAAGCGCAGCACTTTTTCCCCGTGTTTTCAAACCGATGGAGCTCTCATTGTATTTTCAGACTTGCCTGCATTCTTACGCTTCTCTGGTACATCATTGCAGTTTGTTTCATCAGCCACTGCAGAACTGCAGTGAGGAACCGGTGGGGAACTCAACAGCCGTCTCTACCTCCAGGCACAAACACTCCACAAGCCAACTTAAAGAGTAGTAGGTAGAAAACACGGCGCCTCATTTCCAGGAATAACAATTTCCTTTTAATACGCAGCCATTATCTGTTAATGACCTCTTTAGCATTCAAACAGCCCTGCATTAGCATCTCATTTGGCTTGCATCTAAACTCCCAGTGTGCTCAGCGTGGATTAGCTCGTGACTCGTGCTCGTCACCTCTCGTTGTTCAAGGTCAACAGACAAGGGTGAGCGGTGCATCTCAATCAGCCTCCTCAGAGAGCGCCGCGCTGCGAGCATTTCAACTAGCGGCGGAGTAATCTCAGCACACCTCCTCACCCCGGCTCGCTTTCAACAAGGTACGCTTTAAGCAGCTTGAAGCAGAACCTTGTGAGCACTTCAAAGGGCCGAGTGGAACAAGAGTCCCCGAGCTGGAGCAGCACATCACAGTCTGCTGCTGCCACTCACACCTCACATGTTAAATGGGAAGTTTACTGCAGATACACTTTCTGACTTTCTTAAAGTCTTCCTTAGATATTCAGTCATATTCCACAAGGGGCTCAGAGTCAATGTTAATCAATATTCATTGAAATTAAGAGAAAAACTTTTCTTCCTTTGGAACAAGCTACTTCATCATTATTCAACTATTTAAAAACATCTTTACTAGCAGATATATATTATTATACAGCAGACAAAAAAAACGGCTTTTTCCACCAGGCTGTCAGGATGCTGAACTCTCACGGCTCCCTCCCACCTCTCCCCCCTGCCGCCATTGGGCCTGGATTTGAACAGTGAATCGTCCCGGTAACGACCCCGCAGCACCGAGTATCCTCAGTATGTTCCTCCTCACTTCTTACCGACATAGTAGGAGAAGGTCCTCTTGAGGCGGTCGAAGACGAACCAGCGCTTCTTCCAGGACTTGATCTTCCCCCCCATCTTCACCAGGTAGCCCTTGCACATCTTCTCGGTGAGGATGAGGTGGTAGCAGGTCTCCACGCTGTGGCCCGACGCCTCCACGTGGGAGCGCAGGTCGAACTCCTCCTTCCTGATGGGCAGGTAGCGGGTCATAGGACGGGCCTGAGGGGAGCGAAGACACCACATGCTCACGGTTAGAGAATGTATTCAGAACTGAGCTGCTGGACTCTTAAGCCCAAAGTAAGGAGTCTGTGTTCAGTTTGAGCTGTGCTCCATTGACTCACAGTAGGGACAGTTTTATGTTTCAAAATATTTTGGGACTTGTCTACTTCCCACACTTTATATAATAATGTACTACTTCTTAGATCTCTTATTGCTGGGTTTCAAAAAACAGAAGAGCTTTAACCACAGAAGAGCATGAGCGCCACATTTGAAAAGTGATTTTATTTTTGTTCTGAGATTATAATCATTAAAACATTTTATTTAATTTGCTTTTGTTGTGTTTTTAAACTAATTCTCTAAATGTTTTTATTGATTAATTATTGCTAATGTTTTTTGTTTCCTTTACTTTCACATGTATTTGATTAAAAGACATTTCTTTATATAATTAAATGTCTTTTAATGGTCTATTTATTCTTTTTTTAATTGCTGCTTTTTTATTAGTTTTTGAGCTAAAACTCTTGCAAATGCTATTTAAATACATATTAATATTATTATCATATATAGTAATTAAAAATGGAAAATTGTGATCCAACGTCACATGAGTCCAAAACTGGGTTACCTGGGTTACATGGGTTACATGGGTTACCTGGGTTACCTGGGTTACCTGGGTAAAAAACAATCCAACTTGAATAATATTGAATACCATTACAACCTGAAGCTTGAGTGGCTCTTTGTCCCCTCAGACTGGACCCCCTCTCCCTCACTGACCTGAGCGAAGTTCTTGGCCCTCATCTTGACCTCCCGCTCCACCAGCTGCTGCCGGTGGAAGGTCTCGTCCTGCAGCCTCTTCTCCGCGTCCTCCCTCCTCCTCCTCTCCTCCTCCAGCATCTGACGGCGAGCCAGGCTCTCTCGCTCCTGCAGGACAGACAGAGGGCTTCATTTCAGATTGACTTTAGACCCATGGAGGGCTTTGCACAGCATGCAGCTTACAGCCAGAACTCAGCAGACCTTCATGTACATTTCTCTGTGAGAGCTGCTCCGCCTCCTTGACTAAAGCAAAGGTGCTCTTGGCTATTTGGTAAAGTTAGAATGAAAGCGTAGACAGGAACACACACTTGTTTATTTACATCATATCTACATGCAGAGACCTGAAGGCAACCAGAGGCCTGTACTACGAAGCCAGATTTTTGCTTAGCGAGCTGACTTCAGGGAAAACTCGGGGTTTCCAGTCCTACGACGCTGGTTCACTTCTTACCGGGCTAGATCTCCATGGTAACTTATGCTGAATGGCTAACCTGCTCCGGAGCAGGTTTGGTTCCAGGATAAGAGATCAACTCAGTGAAAGCACTGCCTGCTGACCAATCAGAGCTCAGTGTGCAGAGTTTAAAGCTATCAAGTCATATTACAGGATAGAGGAAATACAGAAAAACTGCCGTTGTGAACGTGTAAATGAATAGAATATCCCCTCCCATCTTCAGAGCAATCTGACTATTATAACATTAGCGTTAAGAAAGCTTACTTAAATATCTGCCACAAGTTAACATCAGTAACCGGATCAGAGTAACATTACGTACAGTCCGCGGCACTGTGAGTGCAGACGTCGATGTGTCCCATTATCATTCATATCATATCACATCTTAATGTATCATATATTTCCTTATTTGAGTCAGCTTCTTGAGCTGTATCTGGCCGTGCAACACTCACAGTGTCACATACTGTATGCAGAAGTATTATTTTAAGCAACACATTAAGTTGACGAAACACTCGAGTCAAATGTAATTAAAGTCAGATCCACTCGTGTCTTAGACGGGGCAGTGATTTCATAAACCTGTTAATGTACGCATTCAAACGCTTTTTCTTTTACCAGCTGTATTCACCTTGCAGGTGCAGCTATGTGGCTTTTATCCTGGATAAAGTGTTTAAGTCATGGATGTTTAAAGTTGAACTTCTTCATATTTGTCTAATATTATAGTTCTCTTTTCATTCAGGAAGTATGACGCTGCGCTGTCAGGACGCTTGTCCATGTTTGAGATTGGTCAATAGGGTGGTCCTTAAAATTGAAAGTATGAAAGTCTAAGCTCCAACCCCCAGAATTCATTCTATTAGTCAAGAAAACTCTCCTGGTGAATGTTTTCCTCAATCTGACAACATTTACCCCCCCCCCCCCCCCCCCCCTCATCGACCTTGAAGTGCATCCTCAGTTGCAGCACCGTGGCTGCTGGTGTGGCAGCCCAGGTCCATAAAGTTTATTTTCATCACAGATAAATCTGACAATTCGTTTTGGGATTCATCGATTAATCAGACTTATGAAAAAATAAGAAAAATGTCCATCCCAGCCTCTCTTGAACACAGGGATGTTAGCCTTTGCAGAGCATGCACACAAACCTATACTGCATAACACACTACAGGAAAGGGAAAACCCCAAAAGCATACAGGCCTCTTTAAGACAGTCAGAGTTTTATTCAACACACTAAAAAGATCTTATGGTGACATGAGCTTTGAAGTAACTTCATACTATTCTAAACATGTTTACAGATTCATTATCTATCCATGTATGAGAGGAGTTATTATTAGTTAGTATGGTCCATCAAGGCAAATTGATCTGAGTCAAAGGAGTGACATCAAGGATTAAATCAGCTGTACTTTATAAATAGTTAAAACTGAACTCGTAAAAAATAAATCAAAGGGTTACATCCAGCTGTTTGATGTGAGATGGAGGAGGAAAGTCAAATAAACTAAACCCACAGAGGTATTTCCTAAACCAATTTTGATGTAGTTATATTATTTTATAATAATTATTTATATTTCTTATGTCATTATTAGTTTAATTCTTGACCAATTATTACCACAACTGTCGTTAAAAAATGTTGTATTATTATGTATTCTTAATTTGTATTATTTATTTGTTTGGGATTGTGCGGTGAGGTGGGGGGGGATACACACTAAAGCTATACACTTATTATAGAATTGTAATTAAACACATGTTTTCTTATTTGAAAAGCAACTTTTTTAAGGAGAATAATTTATAAAATGGAGAGTAATAAAAAGAGAAATTAAAAGGTGCAACATTTCCAACATAAATTATTAAAAAATATATATAATGAATGACTTTTATATACTGAGATGTCAGATTCTTAGTTCCCAATCCCAATAAGCGTATATAGATGTAATCTTATTCCTGTTCGGTAAAGCCACCTCAGGAAAGGGTGTGTGTGAGGCATCCAGATAATGACCCGTCTGTCTCCATAGGCTTCAAGGACTTCAAATAAAGAAGAAGAAACAAACCGATTTGTCCCATGTTGTCCTCCAGCCTTAGCGGTTCAGGCACACTTTGAAAAAAGGCCCAAAACCCCAAAGATAAGACAAAATGAGTGTATTATTTATAAAGAACTAGTGAAGCAAAGGCTGCTCAGTGACAGGAGAAGTGTGGGAGAAGCTTCAGATATTTTTATTTCAGTCTCCTCGTCTTCATCAGGACACAAAGAGAGGAAGACGTTTGAAACATGGAGGCCAATAAATCTGAATGAAAGCCTCGAGTTGCTACCCAGAAGCTTTTTGATCAAAAAGAGAGATCAGTGGAGAGCTATTGACAGAAACACAGTCAGAACTCTCATCAATCTCTCCCTATGGATTGTGAATAATCCATACTCTTACAGTAACTCTATTATCCAGTCTTACCCGCGATTCGATAAGTCTGGCTTTCTCCAGATGCGCCTCCTTCAGCATTTTCTCCATCTCCTCGATCTTCAGCGTGTCCACTCCTCCGAAGCTGAATCAAACGCAGCAGCACAGGGTTAGCACACAACCTCCACCTGACTTCAAAGATCTGAGACATTTCATATCCTGACTTCTACATCTGACAACTACATCATTTCATATCAAATCAGTTTAATAGAAGTTGGGGTTCAAACCTTATCTGCAGGGCAATAGCTGTATACTGTATAGGCAGTATTGTGAACTATTTCCCCCACAATTCCCAGGAAATCCCTTTCAGTGTTTACGACGCATGTAAAAACGTCTAAAAATGCATTAAAAATCAACATTTTTATTTAAATCCCAGAGAACCACAAAGTGACTTTAGCTAACTTAAAGTCTTGGCCTTTTAATCTACTTTAATAAAACCCTAACTATGTAATTAGTTAAGTTCATAAAAACAGTTTTCGTCAATGGATGTATTAATCCTTTTCATTTCTTTCTTTTAAAACCGGTTTTTGCTTTCCAAAGCTCTCTTGTCATTGTTATCTTAAACTTCAGGAATGTGGTGATACATTGTAATAGTCTATTCAATGTGTCTCTTCCTTTTTGTCAATAAGTATAGGAATTTGGGACGCCGGATAGCTCAGTGGTGAGAGACTGCGGCCCGTATGCGGTTTCCATGGCACAGAATGCGGTTCGACTCCTTGATATTAGTTTATCCTTTTTTGTCAACAATATTCCATGTCGATATCGTCACAGTCAGTGTTCCATGATGTCGGTGCCATCTTATCAACGCCTCATCTTAAACGGCTCTGCGCTGACATTCCCCGTTCTGTTTCTATGGAGATCGGTGCAGCACTGCTGAAAATCGCCAAATCGAGTGCTGCGCTAAAATTATTTAAAATACTTCAACTATGACCTTGTTTACCGCTGACATTTCAATGCACAACCAATCAGATTAAGGATGTATGTAGCGCACAAGCTAGTAAAGGACGGGACCAAACTGAACTGGTTGTTTTAGACGCAAAACTCTGGGCCCAACCCTTGCGAAAATTACGTATCATATGAATGCAGCTAGTCTTCGAAAGAAAAGTCGTATTTAGTCCTAGCTTTCATCTATTACATTTAAATAATCTCAGGCTTGTAAACATTATTTAGGCGATATGAACTTATACAAAAGAACCCAAAACGACCCACCACCCTGGTAAAGGAGAGGATCTGCCTGTGTACCTGGACATGTTGTCAGGCGAGCAGGCCGAGTTGTTGCCGGTGGAGATGCTGGTGTCCATGCTGTCGGAGCTCTCCAGGCTCAGGGTGTCGTAGGGCTGCTCCCCGGCTGAGGGGGGGTGGTGGTGCAGGATGGAGTGGTGCACCAGGGGGGGGCCGCCTCCGGAGCCGTGGCTGTACGACATGATGGGGGAGTAGGAGGGCGAGGGGGAGGTTGAGGTCATGAGGTGGGACTGAGAGCCGTGCAGCGCCTCCCACTGGCACTGAGCCTCCACCCCCGCGCGCTGCTTCAGCTCCGCCAGGCGCCGCCGCTGCTCATCGATCACCTGCTGACCTGGGGGGGGGGGGGGGGGGGGAGATGATCAGTGAAAGTTGTGCTGACTTTAAAAGAAGCGGAAGATGGAATATCTAAATCCTGAAGAACCACAACCGTCACCAGCACCAAGCATTACATTACATGTCACTTGTTAGACGCTTTTATCCAAAGCGACTTACATACTCAATACTGTGGGCAATCCCCACAGGAGTGAAGTGTCTCAGGGACACAACGACATGCTGACTGCAGTGGGGTTTGAACCTGTGCTCCCCTGATCCGAACACCAACGCACTAGTCCACTGCGCCACACACCTCCCCTAAGCACCAAAGATATGATGATGTTCTCCCTCAGTAACACGAGTACGATGGCCATAGTAAGTTAAACAAATAAATACATTATTGTATCAGGGGACAGGGGTCCTATTCAGAGAAAGAGATTGAGAGAAAACAATCAGGGAAAATAAGAGGACATTTCTCTGAAAATAAAATGGTATATTTAATTCAGGAGAACATTTTAATAAATGTATTAAAAATATATATATTCTGGGCCTTTATGCGGAGGACTAGGGTTCCAATCCAGTCTGGGACTATTTGATGCGTGTCACCCCCCTCTGTCTCCCCTTTATAACTCTTCAAGGCACTGGTGGCCCAAAAGATATTGTAAAAAACAAAACAAATATTCTTGGAGAAACATCTGTGTATACAGTATAGTGCATATTTTGGTTGTCAAGGGACCAGGTGGCTTTACTTCAGCAATATGAACATGGGGATATCTTTCCTCCTTTAAGTCAGTTTGTTGTTTTCTTATAAATCGACCGATTTACAGCAACGTGTCTTCAAAGTCTGGATGTTTATAATAATATGGTGATCCTTACGGTGGCCCCAAATGACTTCCATCAGCAGAAACGCGCTGTAGCTTCAGAAACTATGCAAATATAAAAACACAAATGTGTTTTTGTATGACCAGTGTGTTTTGACATATGTCTGTTTTTATATTTGGATCGTTTCCGAAGCTGCAGTGCATTTCTGCTGATGGAAGTGTTTTGGGCGGTTGAAGCGCATTCACACCCGTCAGCCACGTAGATCCTGGACAAAAAACACTACTTTTTTCCCTTATTGCTTAATCTGATTGCAAAGTGTTCGATAACGTCATCCACTGTAGACATAATACACATCAATAATAGCGTATTAGGTAGGATGATTTTTACGTCATGTGGTTCCTTTAGAAAAAACTAATCACAATTTATTCAGGTTTTATCTAGTAAAATAACTAGATAATTATTAATCACAGTTTTTCTCGGATATAACCCTCGTTCCATGGCTTCTTAATTGTTTTGTTTTCCCCACAATGGCCCTAATGCACTGTCGTAACCAAGCTTAAGGATGATTGCAAGAAAACCCATTAAGCCCTTCACCATAAAGTACAGAATCCATCCAACTTCTCCCATCTCAACTCCAAGCTGCTGTGCACCGTCTAATAAGCTCTCACATCTGGAGACAAGTGTCCAGGTCGATATCTCAAAAAGGAGAATCTCACTGAACGCTGCACATGCAAGATTTATTCTCCAGCAGCAGGAACATTCATAGAAAATTGATGGGAGACGAAAGCCCGCTTCGATGTAACAGACCCAAAAGAAAAGATGAAAAGAAATGTTCGCTGGGAAAGAGTTAACGACACACCAGAGATGAAGAAGAGACGAGGATGAAGACGGGGTCTGAAATGAACAGCTGCCAAGTGTCAAGTTCTGGTAAATGTTACCTTTGATGGAGAAATCAATAAGAGTAACCTGCCAGACCGGCTTTAGTTTTAGATAGGACTTGAATTTTTAAGGTACATACAGTCTTTGGTCTGTTGAAGCTGCTTCCTGATTGGCTGGCTGCCAGGCTGCCAGGCTGCCTGCTGTATAATGCTCTGCCTCTCCTCTGTCTGGTAGGCTAATTAGCCCCCTGGTAGCTTAAAGCAATGATTCACATTGTTTGAAGAACGCTTTTATTAGATCCATCAACAGTGTGCTAGCTACAGTAGATGGTCAGCACGCCAGCAGTTTGGAGAAATGGGCTGAAGGTACAACATGGAAACCAAGCAGAGTGGTGCCTACAGTTAAACTGATTTCTTTGTTGGGCTTTCTTTTTAAGTTAGTTCTGCTGCTGCTACCATAAACACAAGTTCGGCTTAGCTTATTGCTTAGCTCCAATACTTGTCCTCCTGTCATCTACTAAGAGAAATACACTGCCAATAGATAAGTCCCACAAACAAACCCCAACTATCCCTTCAAACTCAACCTAGCTTAATGTAAAGTAAACAATAGGGGAGCTCTTTGAGTGAGTTAAATAACGTCACATTACTCTACAGAGAAATCCAGTTCATTTCAGACCTTGTTTGAGACGTATGTTTAAATCCCGCTGAACAAAAAGAAGAAAAGCAGACGAAATAAGGACTCCTGGACGCAGAGATCCATCTACCTGCAGAGCTTCCATCTATGGAGTTCTGTCTGGAGGTCAGGGGCTCTGTGGTGCATGAGCGCAGGAGGAGACAATACACACACGGATAGACATGAAGGAACTGCAGACACGGATAAATCTGACTAAATTGGGTTATCAAATAGTATCTATCCTCAGTGGGTCCCGACATAGAGGGTGGGAAAGACTGTCCTTCATAATGCTTGTTGACTTCGAACTGCGTATGTTTGAATTTATTAAAAAAAAACAATTGCAACATACTCTTACAAATAAGAAAAGTGGGGAAAAAAACCTCTAGTGAAGATTTGGACTAAATAGAACATTAAATAATATATATATAATATTATGTCATACACATATGTCAGTTTCTAAATATATTAATTGTAATTAATTACGAAAGGGATCCTGATCATTTTAATTTTTCTGTTTTATTTATTTATTTTCTTTTATTATGTCATGATAGCAGAGGTGGGAGTTACCCCGGGATTCCACCGGGTCCGTCTGCGCCGCGTTACGGCTGCGCCGCGGTTTTGTTCCGACCTCCTACAGCGTCAAACCTCACCGGGCGCGTTTCAGAAGCGGAGCGTCTTGCCTGCCGGCTCGCAGTTTTTGTTGATTTGTGCATATTTCCTGGACAGGCTACTTTGTACATACAAAGTTAATAATAATTGTAATAGTCCAGTTATAAACTACATGAATCAAAGACGTGCAAACACACCGAACACACACACACAGAGCAGAGCTGAGCAGAGCACAAACACACACATCATGCGCCTTAGTGACCGGACATCTCATCGGGCAGTTCGATGTGTGTAGAGGTGTGTGTGTGTGGAGGTGTGTGTGGAGGTGTGTGTGGATCAAACGTAGCAGCCTGCGGTCGCTCTTCAGCTGTTCTAATGAAAGTAAACACAGTGAAGGCGTTGCGTAAAAGGCACAGCTCTTTGCGCGCTGGTGCTGCACTTCTCAGAGGCGGAGTTACACGTCCCGCTGCCTCCTGGTGCTGTGGCGATTTCATGAAGTGAATGAGAGTCCGAGTTCGAAATATATCTAAAATAATGTATGCACTGCCACTTCCCAACATAAACATTACAGTCTGCGATTAAACGGTTGTCTCCTGTGTGCTCCACTTCCTACTTGGCGCTCCGGTAACTTTCTCGTGCGAACGAGATCAGTATCTTTTTTTCATTGCCCTTTAGGGGCTCCGTACAATACAAAAACAAATGCAAATATTTAATTTTAAAAAGTAAAGTCCTTTCGAGTCATCTGTCTCAAGTCATGTCAAGTCTTAAGTCATGAATACCAAGTCAAAGTCAAGTTAAGTCTTTTATCCTCACTGGCAGCATGACGGCCTGGTACGGCAGCTGCACCGACCTCGATCGTAAGGCTTTACAGAGGGTGGTGAAAACTGCACAGCACATCACCAGGACGGAGCTGCCATCCATGGAGGACCTTTACTCCCAGCGGCTCAGGAAGAAATCACTACGGATTATCAAAGACCCCCATCACCCCAGCCACAAACTGTTCTTTCTGTTGCCGTCTGGCAGACGTTACCGCAGCATCCTGGCAAGGACAAGAAGATTCGGAGACAGTTTCTTCCCGCGGGCAGTGAGACTGTTAAAAAATTGAACTGTTGAAACAACTTCAAACATTCAACTGCTACTCAGTAGTATGTATCTAATACCTAATATATATATATCATTCCAATAACTTGTATATAGACTCATACTGCACTATTCCACATCATAACTTTATTTCATTTTTATAACTATTATTATTTTTGTATTGCTCTTGCTCTTATTGTTATTATATGTTATTATGTTGCATTGTTGGAGAAGCCTGTGACATAAGATTTTCAACTGCATAATTACTCTGTAGCTATGTCAGATTGACAATAAAGAACCTTGAACCTTGAACCTTGAACCTTTATCAATGTTAGTCAAGCAAGTCCAAAAATATGCGACTCGAGTCAAGTCCTGTGACTCGAGTCAAGTCATGTGACTCGAGTCAAGTCATGTGACTCGAGTCAAGTCATGTGACTCGAGTCCCCCACCTCTGCATGATAAAAAGAAACCTGTTGAAGTGAATGAGTTGTACGTGGCAATGTGTACTAATGATAAATTGCGATCATTAAGTTAATTCCTGCTCTAATTACTCACAACAAATACTTTCCCCTTAAATGAGTAAACAGTGTTAGGCAGGGAATTATGAGTGAATCATTCATGTTGATGAATGGACACGGCAGGATGAATTCTTCAGGAGGTTTTACCTTTCTGCTGCAGAGCCAGCTGCCTCTTGGTCTCGATGTCCTGCAGGGTGGCAGCCAGGTTCCTGGGCAGACTGCCGGTGCTGTTGGCTGCCAGCAGGGGGCTCTGCAGGGGCAGAGGGAGCAGGTGGAATATTGAGAATGAATTCATTAAATAAATAAATACTAAACAAATATTTGCTTTCAACAAATATCAAGGTTTAAGGGGAATTTAAGGACGTTTTAATTTTCATTTGGATTGACAGAAAATCTCCCATCTATATAAGAGTCCCTTTTATAGTGTTACTGTACAGATTTAAATTAAAACACAATTATTTCTGTAGATACAAATCAATTAAATTATAGTGAGACACAAAAAAGAAAGAACAATAAATTATACATTAAATACAAAAATTAAGACCAATAAAAATAGTCATAATATACGAGTGGTGAGAACTAAATAGGAAATATGGAATAAAATGTGAGTTGCAAACAAATAAATACGTAAACAATGTGTATCATGGGTAATTATATTGTCGTACAGAACTACAGTATAATACCAGTGGGGTCTATTTTTCCACACAGTAGCATGCTGTATAGAATAAAATATCTGAGTGAAGCCTCTGATAATAAGACAAAATAAAGGTTGGAGACGTGTTGGACAGGAAGTCGCTGCTCACCCTGGAGCTGGAGTTGCGTCCCAGCGTTGCTGCTCCGTGCTGCAGAGGGGGGGCCGAGCCGGGTTTGGGCTGATGCAAAGACAGACCCGGATCACTGTCCAGCTTAGAGCGGAACACCTGAGGGGGGGGGGGGGGGGGGACACACACAGAGCAGGAGAGATCAAGTTCAGGAAGTCCTGATTGATACAGACAACGTGAGGAATCCACACCATGGATGACGTGCAAGCATCTGCTGGGAAACAGTGGATGAAATCATGATGAGACAAACCGCTGCGAGGGAACATGGACAATGTTCAAATAAATAAAAAACAATAAATGAAGGTTCCATGAGCAGAATAAATGTAGGAGGAGATTAGTCTCGACTTTTTCGAAACATAAACTGACTTCATGTTAAACACCAAAACAAACACTGATAAAGTGCCAGTCACAACAAAAACACCCATCATGCCCCTGTGTCGCTGAGTCAGGATAAAAAGAAGACACCATCTTCATACCTCCCAAGGTTGTTTTATCATATCAAAGCTGAGGTGAACTTTATTTCTCGTAGTTTTCTGGATGCTTCAAGGAGGCTTTTTCAGTGTGCAGCCTGGTCTCCAAAGTTGGCTTCACATATATCAGAATTTCATTGGCAATAACATTTGTAGGGAAATGTATTGCATCCCGGAAGTAAAAAGATCATAGAAAATGTTTCTGGACTCTGTTTCTGGTTTTGAAACTACATGGGACAGTTCCCATTCACCTTATCCCTCCACTCACAGAGTGATTTAACATGATGGCCTTTCAATCCACACTATATCCACAGAGATACTGTACGGCCCACTGAAATCTGTAAGAACACAGAGAGGATGCAGGGGTAAACCAAAGCGAAGGAAGAAGAGAGCTGGGTCCCGATTTATGGAGAAAAGGAGATATAAGCTGTGTCCTCATCATGGACATTGTAAGATCACTGGCTAATGAAATGGACAAGCTAATGGCGTTAGCTAGGAGTCAGATGGAATATCTGGAGTTCATTTAATGTGCTTTACGAAAAATGTACTGCACCAGGATATATATCTGACAACTGTGTTTCCAACAATTGCTTCCGCACTGTGGGGGACGTTTCCGTCAAAAGGCTTTCCGGACTGTTTGGGCCAACAGGATTTTAATCGTGAGCTTTGCTATGTCTTCACCATTAGCCTTTGCCTGAGTCTTTGGAGGGTCCCTGTGATGTGGAGGACTGTGTCCCAGTAGCTTATGTAAAAATGATATCCTGTCTAAACATCAGTCAGGCTTCAGAAAGAAACATAGCACCATCACTGCGACAATGAAAATGGTGAATGACATTACGAGTATTTTAGATAATAAGCAGAGTTGTGCAGCTCTATTTATTGATCTTTCTAAAGCGTTTGACACCGTCGATCATCGCATCTTAAAGCAGAGGCTACTCAGTATTGGCATATCCAGCCATGCACTGGGGTGGTTTGTGAACTACCTCTCTGAAAGGTCCCAATGTGTTCACTTTGATGGGCTGTCTTCTGAGTGGTTGAACATTACTAATGGTGTTCCTCAAGGTTCTGTTTTAGGTCCACTTTTATTCTCCATCTACATCAATAGTTTAGGTGAAAATGTGGATGAAGCAACTTTGCATTTTTATGCGGACGATACCGTGATGTACTGTGCAGGTCCCTCCATTAAGGAGGCTGTTGTTAAATGACAGGCTCTTTTTAACATTATTCAGACTCAGCTCTCTGAACTTAAGCTTCTTTTAAATGTTGATAAAACCAAGGTAATGCTTTTTTCAAAAGCTAAAAAGACACCAGAGCCGGTTTTAGATATTGTTACTATGCAAGGAAAAGTACTCGAAGTGGTTGCCTGTTATAAATACCTTGGTATCTGGCTTGATGATTGCCTCTCTTTTAAACTTCATGTCAATAACCTGCTTAAAAAGCTGAGGGTGAAGCTAGGTTTCTTTTTCAGAAACAAGTCCTGTTTCTCGCTTGAGGCCAGGAAAAGGCTCTGTGACCTTTTTACCTGTGCTGGACTATGGTGATCTGATATATATGAATGCACCTGCCCATTGCCTGAACAAGTTAGATGCCGCCTATCACAGTGCGCTGAGATTTGTCACAAATTGTAAAGCACTTACACATCACTGTACCCTGTATGCCAAGGCAGGTTTGCCATCACTTACTGTACGGAGGCTCAGTCATTGGTACACGTTTATTTATAAAGCTTCGTTGGGTAAACTCCCGTATTATATCTGCTCTCTGATAACACAGAGAGTTGCAAGCAGCTATTGTCTGAGATCGCATGATGTAGTATTGTTAGATGTGCCAAGAGCAAGGACTGTCTTAGGTAAGACAGCTTTTATGTGCGCAGCTCCACTTGCTTGGAACAATCTTCAGCAAGAATTGAAACTGAGCAATCTCATTCCTCTGCATGTTTTTAAAGCTAGGCTAAATGAAATGCTTTTTGATACTATGGGTACTTGTAAATGTCTATAACTATGTAAATGTATCCTGTAAATATAATGTATGATGTCCTTTATTGTTTTATGTTTCATGTGGAACCTATATGCTGCAGGTCTCCCTTGAAAAAGAGATCTATGATCTCAATGGGACCAAAATAAAGGTTTGAAATGAAATGAAATGAGTAGCTACAAGGACTTAATTAGGCATATTTGACCTCTTTATCTATATAAATATGTATTAATTTTATTCCAATATGGTGCAATGTAACTTCCCTCTGAAATGAATAACATATTTTGATCCTGATTCTAATCAAAGTCTGTGGAAGTGTGCTCATGGAAGAGGGCTGAATGATGGCTGAAACAAACACAGGACTTCTGTTTTTGTCCCGTGGGAAAGCAAAGTTAATGTTGCTTTGTTTTCATTTCCTTCAATCACATTAGAAATATATTTTTCTAACCAAAGATGTTCTATAGTGATTCAGTTTTCTTTGAATTCACAATTCAAACCTTGTTTAAAAAAGCGACATCATCCGGGAGAAAGTGTGTTCGGTGTCGTTGTATAGGACGTTTCCATACGATGTGAACGCAGCTTTGTTCACACATGTTTAGACTCCCTAGCTGAAGGTTAGCAGAGGAATAACAGCACAGACAAACAGCTGAAGAGGGGGGGGGTAAAGAGGAGAAAGAAGAGCGGCCCTGTACCTGCAGCACAGGCCTGCGTCCCGACTGAGACTTGGCTGGCAGAGGGGGGGGGCAGAGCTGAGGGGAGCCTGACATCAGCTCCTGGTACCACTGCTCTAAATCTAGCTTGGGCAGGTGAGGCCTGCTGCTCTCAGAGTGGTACTGCAGAGGAGCGGAGAGTGAGCGCAGAGGAAACAAAGAAGAAGAGAGATTAGAAAGCATTCACAGACAGCAGGAAGAGGACAGGAACATTTGTTTGATACACCCTCAAAAGCGTTAATTCAATTATTCTTAAATATCTTCAATGTTTTAATGTTGTCAGCAACATTATGCTTTATACCCTCCAGCTGCATATCCCTATTTAACATATCTCTTTTGTAATGTCGCTGCGCAATGACCCAGTTACTCATAGGGATATTTCAGGTTTCATCTCATTTGATGTTTTACTTTGCTTCCTCGGAGCCATGTGCTGAGAATTACAATGAACAATATCTTAATGCATAAGAATAGACCTTTGTTTTCTAGTTGCAATGAACGCTGATGTTGTTGTTTTTTACTACAGTTACAAGAACAAACTGCTTTACATTGTTCGGAAAATGTTAAACAGCTTACAGTCTGTACAAAATACCAGAATGAGAAATAACAGAATGTATGCACACATTTAAGAGGAGATATTAAGAACTTAAGGATTTATTCATTATATATCAGCTGAAACTATAACTTCAAGCCAGAGCATGGGGACTTTAAAGGTGTCACTAATCAATAAACAGTCATTCTGAGCTGGTTTGAAGTATTTAGTGTTTCTTTTACTACAAATAAAGAATACATAACTGGTTAATATTATTAAATATTACAATTAAACAAACCCAACACTTTTTGGTTGAACTGGTGACAGCTGGTAAACAAACGCAGCCACAAAAGGAAGAAAAGAAGGAAGGAAGGACAGAGGGAAGGAAGGAAGGAAGGAAGGAAGGAAGGAAAAAGAAAGGAAGAATGGAAGGAAAAAGAAAGGAAGGAAGGAAGTGATAAACGAAGGAAGGAAGCACACACCTCTACAGACAGAGAGAGAGAGGAGCTGTGAGGAGAGGGGAGGCAGGAGAAGGCGGGGTCTACTGGTCCAGACTGCAGGGGCTGGCGAAGCGGGGAGGTAGGGGACGACTCCACCTGCGGCATCCCATACATCTGACTCAACTGGCCCACTGTCACATACTCCTGACACACACACACACACACACACACACACACACACACACACACACACACACACACACACACACACACACACACACACACACACACACACACACACACACACACACACACACACACACACACACACACACACACACAACACACACACACACACACACACACACACACACACACACACACACACACACACACACACACACACACACACACACACACACACACACACACACACACACACACACACACACACACACACACACACACACACACACACACACACACACACACACACACACACACACACACACACACACACACACACACACACACACACACACACGTCAGCGGGACAGGCAGCAGGAGGGAAACTCACGCAGTCCACATGCTGTACATAGCTAACTGGTCTCTGATCATATCATTCAAATAGAAAGCTGCCATCACCATGTGTGTTCTCTTGACTCGCATAAATCACTTTTTTATTTGATTACTTTTGTGACTTCTTGTGCATTTAAACAGAATAGATTTGAAAGCAAAACTTTGGATACAGTCATTGGATAAATACAGAATAAAATGATAATATTGGAATACAAACTTTGGAAATCCAAAAGTTTGCTGTTGATCTGAATGTTGATCCAGACACATGCAAGTTCTGAAGTTCATGTGAAAATGGGTATACACATTACTTCTTACATAGTCTTAGGAAACTTCTGTTTGTATATTAGAAATTCCAAATATAAGTATAAAGCAATGTTCTTGTAGAAAAGAATGATGAGCGGTGGAAGAAGTATTTATTTTAAAATAAACCCTTATTGGAGTTTCTTGGACTTGAAATTCCTGTTCTTACTTCTATTTTTAATCAAAACGTGATAAATATGTGATCTAATGTCTAATTTCCCTATGGTAAATACGAATATAATAACGTTATATTTTATTGATTAATTGAATTATTATTTTGTCCATTTGAATATGAAATATATGCAAAATGAAATACAAATAGTGTTTTAAAATTGCAGTTCGTTATACAAAAGAGCAGCTTTGTACGGGTAAGAGTGCTCACTGCAGAGTGAGGCCACGATGCTCCAACACGTAGCAGAGAGCAGAGCCAACAGCTGAACAACAACAGACCAGCAGAGGGAGCAACATGACATGGAAACGGCAGGATGGAGAGAGACAGACAGGAGGAATCAGGAAAAGGGCAGACAGGAAGTGATGGTACCTCGCCGGGGCCAGCTAACTCAGCGTCTACAGCAAGCGAGCGGGGGGGCGTGCTGCCTTCAGGGCTGCCGTAAAGCTTATGGACATCGGACAGCTTCAAGTACTCCTGAATACCCATAGCCAACAGCAGTCAGACAGGAGGAGAAGCCATGAGGACAACACTACAGCGCACTGCTTATTACAGCTTATACATTACATTACATTATCCAAAGCGACTTACAATAAGTGCATTCGACATGAACACACACACACACACACACACACACACACACACACAAGCACCAAGCCAATCATACGTGTTGAGGGAAAACAAACCTGACTGTTAAAGTGCTGCTGTTACAACAAAAAAGTGGCGCGACAGACAAACAGGAACACACCAAGCAACACAAAGTGCTTCTCACACTAAAGTTGGCTGTTCCGACCACCAGGGATGTAGTGTCAATAGCCGCGTTCACACCGGAGTACTTTTCAACGTACTTTTCGCGTTTAGTTCCGTTAGTATCCCTTATGTCGCGTTCACACCAAAAATAGCACTTGATCTCGGGAACTTTTACCCCCAGTTTTAGTGCCTGCTGAGAGATGGTACTTTCCTGGGGGAAAAAAGTGTCCCAATTCTGATTGGCTGGGCGAATTGCAAACAACGCCCCGTACAACTCTGAAATGTTTTGTAGAGCCGCCATTTTATTATCCTGGCATTAGCATTATTAGCATTAGCATTCGCCCAGTGCACAAACGCAGAGAGACTAACTTATGGCAACACAAAATAAAACATGGGAGCGGTGGAGATGAGGAGGTGTCGGCGTTCTGGCGATTTACTCGGAAGGCTTCAGTAGAAGCTGCTGGGAGTCCCAGCAGCTTCTACTGAAGCCAGTCCCCAACACCGGGGACTTCCGGCCGGGGACTCCAGGTGGCAGTATACGCCGTGAAGTTGTTTGCGGCCTGCCAGTAAACCCAAAGTAGAAGAAGACGAAGTGACGTCAGCGGCTCATTTGCGTAATCTTCCCTCAGGGAAAAGTACTCCGGTGTGAACGCGATCTGTACTAAGTGCCCTGGGGTAATAAGTGCCGGGGCACTGAGTGCCGGCACTAAATACGGCAAAGTACTTGGTGTGAACGCGCTTAATAAGAATTGTGACCTCCAGTCATCACAAGTTATATTTAAATAGGGCTGTACCGAATAGTTTGAAGCTTCATTCATAACCGTTTTATATATTCTAAACCGAACGAATGCTGGTATTTGTGCACAGTTAATGTTCTGGCTCCACCAATTATTCAGAGTGTTTCTAGTGACTCCTGCTCTTCACTTCTCATGTTGCAGTGTTTGAGTATTTCTAGTTCCCATGTGACAGAAAGTTACTCTGGCTAATTCCAAAATGGATGTGTAAGTCTTTGTGTCGTGACACTATATATCATCTTGAGTGCATGCTTGTGATCAGATTGCAGACACTTATACATTTGTTATTTCACTGCTCATAGAAGTGAAGCATCTCCACATCACGTTGTATCTCTGAGAGTGACTGTATGGACGTGTTTATCTTGCTGGACAACTGAGATATGAATGTGGAAAGTCCAAAAGATAACATGAGTTAGAAAAAGGATTAGATGTATTAATTAATTTGCAAGATTCATGGCATGTTTTTATTTAAGGAAATATTCTAATTCAATCTATATTTATTGTCTTTCAAAAACAACATTGTCAATGCTTTTAAAAACGGTTTAGCCTCCGTCTTGAACCAGACAAAGCGTCTAATCCAATCGCACTGAAATGTAAAGCTTAATATGTTTTTTTTCAGTGTGATGACATCTTAAAAAATGTTGGAAGAGACATTCAAGAAAACAACATTCAGTACAGCCCTATATACAACCTCTATCCGATATAAATGTTTGCTCCTGTTCAACAATGGTTATTTGTGTGTCAAAAACATGGGAATTGAGGCTTCTTGTACTACATCCCTGGGCTCGGAACAGACCCAACCCAACTCAAACTGAAAGCTGCTGTGCTGGCTGCTCTAAAAACAAGCGACCCGAGTGAAAACCGGTGCAATTAGAGTGGAACTGTGACCCGGACAAAAACAGCAAAACAGCAGAGGGGGGAGCGGGGGGGCTTCATGCAGCGATCATTAGTCTGGTTACCTCTGTAGGGCTGCTGGGGTACAACTGACAGAGAGGGGGGGGATGTAAGAAGGAAGCAGAGGCTCGACAGAGGGAATGCTGGGAGGAGTGGACGTCCTCCGACAACAGGTCTGCCTCGCTGACATGGAGCGCATCCTGTTTCAACAATTCAGGAATAAGCCTTTAATGCCTACAGAAAACTGATGCAACACAACTTCTGCTCGCCAAAATAAATGAAGGATTGTGTGAATCAGGTTCTGTCGTTTGCCCTTCCTCTGTTAAAGGGTAACTTCTGTATTTGTCAGCCTATTTATCTGCAACTGAGAAGAAAGAATGTCCGTAGCATTCGTTGACTTTGCATTTCAACGTTATTAATGATGTTAAGAAGCTTTAAACCCCTCGATACTGGCTTTTTTGAAAGCCTGGACCCTGCTTTAAAATGTTTCTCAGATCCACATTACACAAGAGTGTGGCTCAAATGTGTTAGTTTTTTTTGTTAAAGGGGCTCATTCTGCTCATTTTTAGGTTCATATTTGTATGTAGTGTCTCTACTGGGACATGTCTCCATGTTTTAATGTTCAAAAAGCTCTTTATTTTCCTCATACTGCCTGTGCTGCAGCACCTCTTTTCACCCTCCGTCTGAAACCAGAGCCCAGTCTGCTCTGATTGGTTAGCTGGCCGGCCCTGTTATGATTGGTCAAACGCTAAGATAAAATAAGATAAGATCTTATTTATCCCAAAAACTGGGAGATTTCTCGTTGCAGCAGCATGTAAAACCAAGAGATGGCCCGCTCCTTACCGTGTGGGAGAGCAACTTTGGAATTTTAGCGTTTGCAGACCCTTTACATGCAGCAAACACTGCACTACAGGAAATGGAAAACCCAAAAAAGGCCCCTCTTAGCTCATTAATAGGGTCCAGGTAAATAATAGCTGGGAAACACAGAAGTTACCCTTTAAATCATCAGCTGTTGCACATGTCTGATGGTGATGTAGTGACCATTTAATAATTAGTTTGCTCCACACACTGATCATCGGCAACTCCACATTGTAAACAAATGGGCACAAACAATCCTGCCATTAGTCTGATCACTCCTTTTCAACACTTAGATGCAAAAGAGTGCAATTCACTGCAAGTTAAAGGGGTTAATGGTGGTGAGGATGGAATCAGCTGAGTCATGAAAACTCCTCACTGTTTGCAGGCCAGGAGCACGGAGTGTGACTTTGTGTTTCTGGGAGTGGTCTTACCTCTCTCATGGCAGTGGAGGACTTGGGGAAGCTCTTTCCTCCTGTCAGGCTGTGGTATCTCTTCTCCAGGGCGGACAGCCTCTCCTTCTCCTGTTAGGCACAAATATCAGAATTAGAAAGATAAAACACAGGCAATAATACAAAAATACTCAGGGTGAGCTTTTATTCCATGTACTCATAGTGTGAGTGTTACTTGGTACCTTTTGGAGCATTTGCAGGGTGAGGGTCCGGTCCTTGGCCAGCCGCTCACACTCCTGAGACGCCTGCAGGCCCAGCTGGTTGGCCTGGCTCTCCAGAGCGGACACCTTCTCCTGGGGGGGGAGGGGGGGGGAGAAAGACATCTTTAATGCAAGCTGCTCTGTGACAGTGTGGCTGGACAGGATAAATTGATGCCTGACTACAATGTGTCTGACTTTAAGACCTCTGTGTGGGAACGCCAGATGTCTGTGGTGGAAGTTATAATAGTATTGTTGAAAAGAAATATTGAAAACGAACAACAACCTCTCCAGATGTTGGTGTCTGTTTGGCTGCCTTTTTTTTAAGCTTTATAGTTCATTAAAATCTATTTTAAATCATTAATCATTTGTAATATTATTATCATAAATATATATATAATATAATATTAACAAATTAAATATATATAAATTATAAATTAAAACATACGAAAATATGTATATTCATACAATAAATGTACCATCTTTAAATAAGATTAATCCATTTCTTTTCCAATGATCCTTTTTCTATTGAATTTCATTCAATATATGTATATTCATATGGGAGCAGTGTTACTTTCAGCTATTTTAATTACATTTTGTTGCATTGTATTGTGGGTATTCTGTGTTGAAAGGGTGCAACTACTTTTAATACAAGTCTAATATCTTTCAAGAACATTTCTCGTTTGTTCTTCAACCTAACTAAGACCATAGAAGTGTAAAAGATAGGCTAAATTAAATGATTAATGATGATAAATACACAAAAACAATAACCCCACAAAACTTCATTGATTGGACAAATGTAACTAAATGGAGATCATTACTATTATTTAATTATTTTGGTATAAGAATGTCTACAGTGTCATTGTTTGCTTCAACTCCTACACAGAAACCCATACGGTACAAAGCATTATATACTGAGGTACTGAAGCCTGTTCCCTCACCTTCCTCTTGGCCACGCTGCGATGGTACTCGGCTCTCTCCTGCAGCAGCTGCTGACTCATGGTTTCTCTCTCCTCCTCCAGGCTGCTCTCTCTCTCCAGCTGCTGAAACTCCAAGTCCTCAAACTTTTTGGTTCCTGTTTCCAAGGCATCTCCGTCCTGATGGAGGCCCAGGCACAACAACAGTGGTTACATCATCGACAGAGAAACACACTCTCCGTAACACACTGCTCAGTTTAAAAGCCATCCACTATGCTCACAGCGTTGTTGCTTAAAGAACAACTAAACATATTTGTTCACTTTCAATTGTTCTATGGAAGCTCTGAGAAGCAAATAGGATATAACAAATTCTGGTGATTATTTATTTCAAAGTATGAGCTTAATTGTTTTCTCTCCCATTAAAACATATTTTGAAAGATAAATAATTTATAATTAATAATAATTGTGTTTTAATGTATTTATGCTCTCATCTGCCTCTTGTGGCCAACATAAGTATTACCACAATGTCCTGACTGTTTCCCACCTGTTTTTAAGTCACATACCAAGGAGAGAAAAAGATTAAGGGTCACCAGATTTTATTTCTCACTTGCCTCTCAGGGATTACGTTTCTTTTGCAGAATAGCTGAAGCTCTTTTTGGGGAACACTACAAGCACCGTGCTTAGTCAAGCAGACGGTCATGAAGAACATGCTTCTACTGCAGCGCAGACACTGGTGTGTGTGGGGACTACATGGACTGTAGTTCACAGGAGGCAAGGGACGGTGACTTTACGCTCAGGTTATTTAACGCTTTGAACTGTTTTCAATTTAGCACCCAAGAATGAAACGTAGTAGCAGACTGGGCCTGAAACCTACAAAGGAATACAAAAATAAAAATTATATTTCAGAGTCGGGGAGGAAATAACTCAAGACCTTAAAGGTCTACGAGACAAAAAACGTTGAATTCCTGAGATTAAAGTTGTACATTTAAGGAAAAACTGTTTCTCTGAGATAACAAACGCGTACAAAAATTAATGTCAAAATAATCTCCATGTTAAAATGCCTAATTTTAGAGCAGAAATAAATGTTTAGAGCCTGGTAAAAAAATGTTGGTTTGTAAAACTTATTTCCCAATTCATAACAACAGTAAACATTGTTATGTATTCTTGTAAACAGCAAACTTTAATCTCAGAAATTCGGTTTCCCCTGAATATTACCCCCCCCCCTGACATTTTTTTGAACCTACAATGTTCTTAGAACCGTACCTGTTTATCATAAAGATCTGCAATTAGGACTGTCAAACCTTTTTCCCAATACAAATAAAAACAGATTCATAATTTCTTTTAAACAGCAGCATTCATTGACTTAAGAGAGTCACAGGATGAGAGCGGGGGGGACACACAGAATGGATCAAGTCCGGGCCTATGTTAATTGATTAGTCAGCAGTTATACAAATAATGCGAGCCATGACAAATCACAGGGGGGGGGGGTGCAGATCAGATTCACACATGCGGTGCAGCGACTCTATATCACATGATGCACATTTTACCAAAAAGCATCACCAGCAGCTGAGGGGCCCAGGAGCCGTCAGTGGGCTACTGTGGACCTGAGGGTCTCAGTAGCACGGAGGTGTGGTGCGGAGGAGGGGACATTCCTGTCGCCCGTGGCAACAGCACGTCTGTGAGGGAGCACTGAGTGTGTGTGTGTGTGTACGTGTGTGTGGTAAACCATATGTAGTGGGCCCCTGCTGAAGGGTTAAAGGTGCCGGGAGCACTATGTGTGAGGGCATGTGCTGAGGCCTGGCACACACATGCTGCTCTGAGGCAGAGATACGTACAGGAGCAGTGAGAGAGTGGGGCTTCGGGCTGGCAAACTGTGTTAACGTTTTTTTTAAAAGAGGGCTGTCAATCGCTTTTTTCTTTTTTAAGATTTTGTCGAGCCACTAGTGCCTAAAGTGAAGAGACTGAGGTTGAAAAGGGGAGACAGAGGGGAAGACACCCAGCAAACGGTCCCAGGTCGGATTCGAACATGAGCCCTGGTTCGAGTCAGTTCTACCCAGTTAGCAATACGGCAGCCCATTGGTTAAAATATATAATCGCAATTAACTGCATGATTGTCCATAGTTAACTCGCCATTATCCCTTAAAAATAACATAATACCTTCATATTATAGATATCGCATTCTGCTTTTGGATAACCTCCCACAATGAGAGAGCAATGCATCACCCAACGATTCTTTTGTTTTTTCCACTTCTAAAATATAAACTTTGATCTCATTATTTACGGTTCTTGTATCTTTGTGTCGGTAGGTGTCTGCCTGCCTGCCTACTATTATTATTTCAAAGATAATATAATACACCATGAGTCCTAAGGCCCGGAAATGACTTAGCCTTATTTCACCACTTCCGTCTCCCTCATCTCTAAGTCAATGTTTTTTGGAACTTGTTTATCGTCAGACTCTCACAAAGCGAATGAGATTTCAACGTTTTGATCTATGACATAAAATACGTTTTTTTATGCTACTCACTAAAAGGTTTTGGGTGGGATGGTGTCTGTGCTGATTTATTAGGTATGTAGGTGTGTGTGTGTGTATGTATGTGTGTGTGTGTGGGGGGGGGGGGGGGGGGGTCTAGGTGCTTCTGTTGTACTGGTGACCCACCCTTTTGAGCTGTTCCTGCAACTGTTCCCTCAGGGACTCGGGACAGTTATGAAGCTGGTTCTCCAACTCAGCGTAGCCCTCCTGGAGGCTCTGCAGGGCCCGGCGCTCGGCCTCAACATTAGCCCTCTCCTAGAAAGACACAACACACACCCACACACAGGATGGATGGACAGGGGGGAGAGAAAGAGAGACACACTGCTCAAAAATCACGCCATGCAAATAAAAAGCTGTAGGGTGTTAGCAAACAGACATGTCGGGACATATTTTAAGGGCTTGGCATGGGACAGGAAGTAGGTGCTGATTTGTCAGGATGTAAGCAGTCTGGGATCCACACATTGTATGTGGTTTTCAAATAGCCAGAACATATCATTCCAACTCTCCAAAGTGTTCATATACAATTTCAATAATATTGTATAGTGCTTTACTTTCTTCAAATGTCCCCTGTCACAGTGACAATTAAAGGCTCTACATGCCCTTAAAGAACATACTGTATATATTTTCTAACAATTATAACTCAATTAGGTTGAAAAAGAAAGGTTGGTCTATAATTTACTTGGCCGCAAAATATTTTTAAAATTACGTGATAAACGATGCAATGTCTGACAGTCGTTACTCTGTCTAAGCAGTTAAAAAACAGAAACATCATGTCTCTTTGGTGCTAATTCTATGGAAGCCCTGAGAGGCAAAAATACAAGAAAAAAGTTCTGAAGATTTTTTAAGTCTGATCCAAACACTTCTCTCCTGTGCTTATGTCATTTTCTTTTTTTCTTTCTTTCTTTTTAAAATCCGTTATTACCCGTTGGCCTGTACACAACTCTGCCGGGGCAAATGCTCACAGACATTTCAATGATTTGTTCGGCAAAGTTAGGTTTGGAAACTGTATAATTTCCTTTTGGGGCGGGCATGCATAACACGGCATAACACCGGAGCCCCGCTGCGGGGAAGCTTTGGCGCTGTTCTGAGTTTGTTCTAATCTGTCAAAATGACGGAAGGCTTTCAGATTTTTCCGTCATTGTTAAAAAAAATCCGTCATAGACGGAAAATATTCAGTTAATGCGAACTCTGGTCACATTTTAGTTTTTTTTCTCAGTTTGCATCTCATGGCTTCCATAAATTTCAGTTTTGTGCTCTGGGATACGAGCTTCATATTGATATGTAAAAAGGACTACCAGGACTGACAAGAGTTGTCTTACGTCTTCAGAGATGAGGGTAAACTCAGGTGAAGCTTTCAGCAGGTCTAAGCAGTTTTTCCCCAACGTTTCCATGTCAAATGTAGCTTAACATTTCCCACAGAATATATGTCTTGTCATCTTAGATGTATAAACAAATTTCAACGTACCCTATCGTACAATAACACAATCTAGAAACACACAATTTCAGATTTCTATCTTGCTTGAGTTCAAATGTGGTGAGTTGTATGTAAAAAGAAGAAGAACCCCCCTTAAACCACTAAAGAGAACATGCTAGTAGACAGTTTCATCTGTCCACTATTGGAACACTTTACTCAAAGTGTCTTTCAGGACCCGTGCACTACAGAGCCCAAACAGCCTTTAAAGGGCAGCTTTCCTGACCAACAGGGTCTGTCATGCAGACGGGGAGGAAACAGGTGAGCACAGTGTGTGAGAGTAACTGTGAGTGATGAATAAGCAGAGAAAGGATTAGGGGTTATTGGAGGTCAGTTAGTTAGCAGAGTCCAGCTAAGGAGAACAAAGATGGAATTTGACCTGAGAGCAAACTTCTAGGGAGAAAAAACATGCAAAACAATTCCCAAACAGGTCAATCCAATCCTTTTTCCAGCCCTATATATGGCTGGAGTTGACTGTACCAAGCATTCCTGAGGTGAAGAATTGAATAGATCGACCCAGACAGGAATTCTGACTTGTGTAGGACACCAAAAGTGACAAACCATCAGAGTTCAGAGAGGTTTAGGAGACTGTAGGAGCACAGGCAGAGAGTGTATACGTGTGTTTTCTGGTTTCCAAGAATGTACCTCTGCAGATATTTGAATCCAGTAGACTTGAAATGTAATTAACGGATTCAAATGCAGCATTTAAAATGTGAGCTGTGTGTATCCACTGCTCTCCGTACCTTGTCCTTCTCCCTCCGGATGGCGCTCTCCAGCTCGTCCAGCTTGTGCTGCAGCTGGGTGATGATGTCAGTTTCAGCCTCCATTTGGTCCAGCTCCGCCTGCCTCTCGCCCTGCAGCAGGGCCCGCTCCATCTCCGCCTGGAGGGGGGGGGGGGGGGGGGGGGGGGGCACACAACCTCCGTCACTCAGTGTTACCGGTGAGCGGTGTGTACAATTACAGAAGTATTAGAAGCTAAATGTTGTCTAAGTATTAAAGTACTGTCCTGTTCCTTCTGACTAAAATATTATGATATCACCCGATTAATAATAATAAAGAATAAATGTGAGAGCAGCATGTCCTTTTTTTAGCTGATAGAGGTGGAGCTATTACAAACTACTTTATATAAAAAGGTCTGATACACAAATCTGTTTTCCTATTTTGGATTTTGGCAAAGTATTGGATCATTTGAACATTTATCACAATTAAACCATGTGAGAAGTTTAAAAGGAAAAGTAATCTCTATTTGGTGGAGTTGTTTACTAACTCCACCAAACTTAAAGGCATCTGAAATTGGACCTCCCAATACCCATAAAAGGGATGGTAACCACTAGTTTACTCTTAACAATGTGTTGGATTTCCAAAGCTTGTTATAAATTGTGTCAAATCTTATTTTCTTTTTGTAAGATTTTTCGGACTGCCAGTGCCTTTAGTGAAGTGGCCTGGTTAGACATCAGGGAGGACTCGCAGTGAAATGGTCCAAGGCATGATTTGAACCCGGGTACTCGCACACCGAGCCCCTGTATATGGGCAGCCAAATCTAACAACTGATCTATACGGTGGCCCGATTGTGTCAAATCTTTATCTGTAAAATAATAAGCCGCCAAATATGGAATCAGCCTGGGCTTTAGGTTTTAGGCCCCCACAGAGTAACTGAGGCACAGTGTAATGATGCTGTGGAGAACAGAAGTTTTAGGTTGATTACAATGTATGTGTTTGACTTGAGTCCAGCCTGGGTTCACACTGAGGTAAACAACAATCTGTTTCCGTCAGCTGTAGTACCTCTTGTTTGGACTCCTGGAGTTGTTGCTCCAGCTCCGTAAACCTGCTTTTCAGCTCATCGATCCGAGCGAGAACGCGAACGCGCTCGTCTTCCAGGTAACCGAGCTCCAGACGACCCGAACCCAACGAGTCCTCGTGCTGCAGGGACAGAAACAGAGCAGGCTTTAGAGAAATGAAGGCAAGCTATTAGAGGAAGGGAGAGAGAGATGGGCGGTTTCAGTGGGTAGAAGTTTGGTAGAAGAATGTACAAGTTATAACCAATTCAAACCAGATAATGGCACATTACAGCAAAGTGCAATGCCAAATAAAGATGGCATTCGCTAAAACCCTTACATAACAACAACAACAGCAAGATAGAAAAAAGACATGAGGCGAGAGATAGGTTCATGCAGGAGCCACTGTAATGAAAGGCTTCTAATGACTTAAAACGTCTGTAAGACCTCCACAAACAGTCTAAAAAGCCAATAAATAGGAATACAAAATGGAATAAGTAGTTGAGTTTAGTGTCTCGCTGATGTATTCTTCTAATATTTACACTACAGCAATCATTTGTTGAATCATTTGTTGAATCAGTCCCTTTATTCTTTCAGCCAACAATTATGTAAAGACAATATAAACTAATAACTTTGAATTATTGACTGATATTGTTTGTACACATGCTGAGAATAGCGTGACAATCAAGGCGTTAATGATAAAGGCTTTTCAACTATGATTTCCTGAATGTTGATGGATTCTTTTTAGAAAGCTGCATAAATAACTAACTCACTGTTTAGCTATACATTTATAAAACAACAAAATAGAGGAAGGAGCATTTTTACTTTAACTCCTTATTTTTAAATAAATATTTGATTTGATCTTTTATTGGACATTTTACTTTTCTTATGTTTCTATAAATATATTATATTTTATTTAATGTTTTTTATTTGAAATTCTAATCTAACTTTTTTGTATAGATATTTAAAAACAATTATTTCATCTAAAATTGAGCAGTCACAAAATCGATTTCCCCCCACGATAAAAAATGTATTATGATTAAACCTGATATCAACAGATATTCACAGCATTAGCATAAATGACTTATGCACACATTCCTTTTGAAGCTTTCACTTTAAAGCCATGCCCATTATTAGCACATGCTGGTTCCATAGTGGCATGCAGAGAGCGTCTTATGGAGGAGCGTCCCCTCTGACCTGTCTGTCCCCATTGTGCAGAGCTGCGCTGAGAGCAGGAGACGTCCTCACCTCCTGATGCGTGCTCTCCGTGCTGCTGCACTCCTCCTTCAGGTTCTCCTCGTCGCTCTCCCTCTGCCTCTGCAGCAGACGCAGCGTGGCCTGGGACGGCGTTCCTCCCAGGATGTTCTCCTGGGACAGCATCCGCCCCGAGCCGTCCGTCAGCGCCCCGGGGAAACCCGTCCTCCCCGAGCCCAGCGGCTCCAGCTCGCTGCCGTCTCCTTTGTTGTACTCTGCGCAGAGGTTCAGGATGGTCTCCAGTCGCTGTCTCTCCTGTGACAAAAAGTATACACTCGATTAAACAGGGACTTCAGTTAAGGGTTTTCTCAAACCTTAGCAACAGATTGGTTCAGAAGACACATTATCACATACTTTACAGAGGCCCTATTATGCTTTTGGGGTTGTCCCTGTAGTGTGCTAAGTATGTTTTTGTGCATGTAAATGGTCTGAAAGGAAAAAATCCCAAATTCCCTCCCTGCCTGAAACGCTTCCATTGGACTTCCTTGTTTACTTCCACAACACAGTGACATCACTATGTAACACTTGCGCTTCTATATGCTAGCGCTCAAACACATTGCACGTGATAGGCTATTGATGGAAACATATCAATGGGGAGCTGATATATGACTCGTGTACTCATTTCTTTAATAAAGAAGGAGCTATATTAGTTTGTATATCTTAACACACTGATAATAATATAAGCCTACGGAACATTAGATCAAATCAAGCTGTGGTCGGGAATATGTCCCTTCTTTTTCATTTCCTGTGTGTGTGCAGGGTGGCGGGGCGGAGCTGCTGGTGACAATCTGAAGACGGCCAGCTGGACAGGGGAGGAGATAGCAGGCCTGATGCCAAAAGAAACATGTTTTATTTGTAATACATTCGACATTATATTTGCTGCAACCAACAGAAAACACTGATCTGTGAAACAGGTGGGAGGAAAAGTTCTGGGAGGTGAAACACTTTTATATGTTACTTTGATTTTGAACTGTGGAAACACAATACTGTCAGTATGAAAGAAAACCAGTGATTTAGCAGGATCAAATTAGTCTCTTAGAGCAGACATGAAGTTTGTCATGACTTCTCTCCCCCCTGAAACAACACAGCCGCCCACAGGACTCCCCCCGAATGCTGCACGGGAGTCAGATATGTGTCTGGTTGTCCAGCTGTCACTATGAGGGGTCAGCCCACCTATGGGGGGCCAACAGGCCAGACTCTTAATGTCAGCTGCTGTCTGCAGACTCTGCGTCTCTCAGGTCGGCACAGCACCGTGAGCCTTAAAGGCACATGATGGCTACATGTTTAGTGGCAACAATAATAATGACTAGCTCCTGTTATCCGTGCTCAGACTATATATTGAAATAAAAGGAATATTTGAAAAAGAAAGTAAACAAGACTGGTATCAACACTAAAGTAAATGCTACTGTGTGCAAGAGACTGTTTAAATGTGCATGAATGATGTTAAAGGTTGCTCTGTTTTAAAGAGTAAGTAAGTTGGCTTGTCGGTTTTGTCGTGAAACATCTACTACTGTGTGTTGGGAAAATATATAAATGGCAGAGCTTTTAATGGAATGGCAATGTCTTGCTTGAATGATGGGGTTTTTCACCCATATATTGAGGAAGACTTATTTAATAGTCTAGTGTGTGGACCATGCGTTAAGACTTTAGATGTCCACTTTTTGGAACTGTATATGGATGGAAACCAATTTTGAAACGATACCAATGGAGTGTTATTCTTTGTATAACTTCTATCACAAAACATAAAAAGTCATGAATTTTGACGTTGGTTTTTTGGTCACTATAACCACACGTGGCAAACAGTAGTAATAAAATAAAATAAATTAAAGGTAGGGTAGGTAAGTTTGAGAAACCGGCTCGAGATCGCTAGAATTTGAAAATACACAACCGGAGAAAATCTGCCACTTCCTTACAGAGCCCCTCCTCCAACACACACGAACGCGCACATGACCAATGAGGGCACGAGATAAGTGTGTGCACAGATGGAAGGCTGACAGGCAGGTAGGCCATCCAGTTATTTTAGCCGGGCCGGCTAAAATGATTGGTCGTGCTTTTTACAGTATTACGGCTTCCACAGATGACATCTTTTAATGGATTTTTTGTCAAAGCACTTAAGATATTCATTGCTATCGGGATGTTAAGAGCATTCCATGGAATATAACAAAAAGTGTATCTCGAGCCGGTTTCTCAAACTTACATACCCCACCTTTAAGTAAGTCATCAAATATAGCATTATTTATCTAAAGTTAGCTAACTTTGGATGTTAGCTTAAAAGCTATCGCTGAGCAACAGTTGGTTTAATTTCTTCTGAGCTGCATTTAAAAAAGTGCTATTTCCTCTTTCAAAATGTATTTAGTCTAAGATGTTTTAATGAAGAATGTAAGATATATAACAAATATAGAGTTACGATTTGACCTTACAGTATGTCAAATAAGTCCATGAATTGTGTTGCAGAGAGTGAGTATGATAACATTTCAACAAAAATAATGTAATAATAATGTAGCTTTTTCGCTTGTTTTAAAAGCAAAGTGGTTTGGAGCAGAGGAAGCACTGTTCTACTTGATGCTCTTGAGCTCCAGTTCCGGCCCAATCTGTTTCCTGTCGCGTAGGAACACTTGGCAGCTAAATAAATGCCCTGGTGTATCTTCTCCCCCAGACTGCAGGAGCACAGCCTCCCACTGTGGGAGCATCTGCATGATGAGGAGCTACAGCCCCACCATTAGCTGCAACCTGTAATCTGTTAGCTTCTAACTGAGTGGGCGGGAGTAAAAGACCCCTTTGGGCTGTGTAACAGTGCTGTACATTTTCAACAGAAAAGAGTCAAACTTCAAACATCTACTGGCAGGTCTACAACTACTCATGAGTCCGCCCACTCAACATCTGCTTGAACATACAGATTAGACCACTCAGCGTTCTGACGCCCCGTGAGAAAGGTGATTGAAAGCCGGCTCTAACATTGTCTCGTTTCATTGCCAGACAGCCTTCAGGCTACCAAACCTGTATGATGCATGAGTAGCAGGATCACAGACAGATTTGAAACCATTAAATGTGTTATGGCCTCAACATAAAATCAACTTGACACAGAATCATATATGCAACCTGTGCTCAATTCATGCTCCTTATCAGCTGCATGTTGACAGTTCTGCGTGAATCCCATATTTTCTGTGGTTCTCAAGCGGGACTTTTAACACATTTTTAAGATCAGAGGTTGTTTTCCAGAGGCACTGAACATCCTAAATTACAAAATAAATCTGTAATCAAAACTTCACTTGGATCTGAGAATATAGAACAAAACTGCGTGTTTACTCACTCTCATGATGATCGCTGGGACAAGTTACAGCTCAAAGCTTGAAATGAGGCACACGCTCAAGCCAAGACAGATTGGTGAAAAGACAGATGAACTAAGGCCCCGGCTCCACGAGGACAAATACAGCAAAACGCATCGGAGTAACGCAAATGCAACCGCAAAAAACCTTCCGTCCCCACGCAATATACACCGGATTGTGTCAAGCTCCACGAGACGGCTCCGTTTACATCCAAACGCTGGAAAAGCTGCAGTACATATGCCGAACCTGTACGTGGCGCTGTAACTTCCTCCACAAAAGCAGCAACTTCCTCCACAAAAGCAGCGAAGAAGAATGGTTGTCATGGCTGCACTTCTGTGTATTCTCCGCGGTGGGGGCCGACAGAACCGGGCAGAGTTTTTTGCCGGTCAGCAGTGGCGGCTCCAGAGTATTTGTGTTGGGTAATCTATGGTAGGGCTAACCCATACAGTGGTGGGGCTCAAGTCAGTATTTGCAATGTAATTACATACACGCTATATCGCCCCTCTTGACAGTGAAACGCCACGCGTGAGGTTTAGATTATTTCCCTGTCTCAATCCAAATTGAACTGTATGAAATAAAAAGGCACATTTGTCTTGTAGTAAATAAAAAGGGCGACCTGGAGCCAATCCTGCAATTTCCCCACAGGTGAAAGAGTTCACATGCTGAAAACCCAACCCCTGCAGGGGGGTCTGGAGGGATTCTCCCCCAGGAGATTTTTTAAAATACTAACATAAAATACACATTCTGGTACTCTCTTGAGAAGAAAAATAAATAAATCTATTACTACATATTTAAAAAAATGAATGCCATTTTTGTTTTTTGTTACTTTGTTCTGAAAGCTGAACCTGCTGCTCCTCACAGAGAGCAGAGGGAAGAGGCTGTGTGAATTACTTTGTGGATAAGGGTGCATAGCCCCCATTGTTCTGTGTGTCAAAATGAAAGACAGCCCACACACCTATCAATCATCAAACCGTGGGGTCTTATTTCACATAATGTTGTATCGATGTATAGAGATGTACTACCGCTAAAGTATTCTCCGTCGGGACTTCCTGCAACAACACCACGCCGTTATCGTGATTCTGATTGGCCAGAAGACATTATCAAAGATGTTTTATTGAGAAGACGATCACTACGTGACAAAAGTTTTCAAAACCGTTTCTAGTCTTCGGTATTTCCAGACAAGTGGCTACTGAAATCAATCTTACTAACTGCTGTCTATGCAATTTACTCCGCGCGAGATGACGGACTTTATTTAGCTTACTTTAACATCATTTTTCATGGTGGGGCTAAGGTGGGGCTAAGCCATTTCTTGGTATGGCTGTAGCCTACCCCAGCCATACCCTGACACTGCCGGTCAGCGTGTGTTAAAGTTTAAATCTTCCGGACAAATTATAAAAGTGCCGGTCAAAGGTCTTCATTGTTATTTATTGAGCTTTAAAACAAATGAATAACGACGATATAATGATATATAATCATCAAATACATCTCTTTTTCCTCTCTTCTGACAGCGTCAGTGTCTGTCTCATGCAGCAGCTGATCCTGTAATGAGTGACCCGACAGTAAAAATGAACATATTTATAACTAGTTTAGTTTGAGAGGTAATTAAAATAGCTAAGGGTGATGATCTGACTTGAAGTGTGTGTTTTGCTCCCGCTGCATCACAGCGGCAGGAGCTGCGTGTCTCCGTCCTGTCAGATTAGACTTCACTCGCGTTTATGTCCATATTGAGATAAAGATAAATAATCTGAATTCAAGGAGGAGCTCCTGTAGATGTTGCACAAAGAACTGTAGCATGGTCAGTAGCGACTGGAGCACGATAGCAACCCCGCGGGGGAGAGGCGGGGCTATGAAAACGAATGACCGTATAGGCGACTCCACGGCCCCGTTGGACCCCCCAGAGCGCTCCGTTCCCAGATCTATCCACCTTTG